CCCTCGCCCTTCCCACCCCCCCCCCCCCCCGCCACATGCCACACTTACCTGTGGGAGCTGCTCCCCAGGCTGCCTGGCAGCCATGTGTGGGTGTATGTGTGCACATGCAGATAGCACCCCTTTGCCTCCCCGCAGCCCCTTGCAGGCTGGAACTCTGCCAGTCTGCAAGGGGAAACTCATTTTTTGCCTTTTTATTCTTTAAAGGAAAAAAGCTGGGTTTTATACTTAAAATTAGAAAACCTGGGTTTTACTGCATTTTTCTGTGGTAAACAGAAACTCTAGATCCCTGGTGATCAGGAACCTACTGCAGGAATGCACTGCTTGCTGGAGTTAACTTATAGTGCAGTCCTCTTTTCCCCTTCTTACCAACAGTCAAGCCATCCAAACTGTGGCCACCTTTTAACCATTTCCAACCTCCCCCCATTCCCGCTTTATATTGCTTCACTATTGCCCTTTGCCCCCAGGATCAAATTCAGGGCTTTTACTCATGCCCCCCCATCTAAATAGTTTGTCTCTAAAGTGCTACCTTGCCCTGCCTTCTACCTCCCATCTGTGGATAATTTAGCTTTTACTGATAGCACCCAGCTCCTGGAATGACTCTGTTGCATTCTTTTTCAAATAGGGCAGTTTAGTTTGATTTGCTGTGTAACACTGAAAATTTAAGTAAATACCTTTCAGGGGTAACTAAATAGGGATGCTCCTTACTGTTGAAGCCTTAACAGCAGGATTCTTTTAGCTTTTTTTGAGAAGCAGCTTAGAGAGGTGGTGGGAAGTGGCACATAAAACTTACTTCCTGTTTTCTTACAAAGTAAGTTTTCCACATTTCTGGGCAGGTACTTTGTTAGTGATTTGGCACTAAATCCTGGTTTGACTGTGCTTACAATAGAAATACAAAGTTCTGGTTCTTTGGATTTTTACAGTTGTTATTTCTTTATCCTGTGCTTCACTGTTCACTCACTATGATTATAATATGGGACAGGCCACTTTAAGCATACCTCAGATGCTTTTGTATAGCAAGTCCCAGTTCTACTTCCACATGCAGCAGAGTAGATCCGGCATGTTACCACAGAAATTGGTACACTTCCACTGGAATTAGACAGACTGGCAGAGAAAGAGACCTAAAGCATGTGATGGGTCAGGTGCTGATGTATTTTGAAGTGTCATACTTTCATATGAAGCTTTTTCACTCTATGCAGCCTGTAATGAAGTACTTCCAGGAAAAGTCCTAGAAAGGGTGGAGAGGCACATATATAGAAGCATTATAGACAGCTGCTGCTTAACTGAGAGTTATTTGCTGAAGCCTTAGTACCTTTTGATAAGTAATGTTCATGTCATGGTTTGAGGGTTTTTTTCCCCCTCTGCTCCTCACTATAACCTAAGAACTGAGTTTGCAGTTCTGTAGTGTTACAGTTCTGCAGCAGCAGAGTAATCAGAGATTACAAAGGCAGCTGTACTCTGAGATGATTTTATCAGAGTACAGCTGCCTTTGTCCTCTGTTTTTTCTCCTTTTAAGAAGCCAGACAAGAAATGAGTTAGTGGTCTTCCTTTGTTATATCTAGGCCTGTACACACACTTTTCTGGTAGAAGAGTGATGAAAAGAGATATATCTGCTACACTGATTCTTCAGTGCATATTTCAGGCAAGGCCTGTGGAACTTTTCTAAGTGTTTGACACTTTTATTCAATGACCTAGTTGAGAACAGGAGTTTTATTTGCTGATACGATGCATGGGCACCACCTACAGCCATCTTGATTCCAGACTTTTTCAGCAGCTGCCGTACCTGTGACAATGTTGGGAGACAGACATTTGTTTTCTGTTACAAGCCATTGGTTAAAGTGAAAAAAAAATAAATAAAACAACTCTTCCCCCCCCACAGTACCCTAAAAAAAAATCATTGCCACTAACACCAGAATCTGTTGAGGCAGTGAGAGAAAATCTGTTGTGAACTGCATGCAACACTATTGTGTAAAGTTTAGCTTGTTTACTGTTTGCCAGGGATTAAAAAATGTCATGGTGCTTTTGCTACATTGCTCTATGTAATAGAGACAAATGTAATAAGCACTGTCAGAAATTACCAGCCAGTTCCTTAAGCCAGGTAAAATGTCTAGCTTAAATGCACTGTTTGTATTTATGTCCAAACAATTAGAATGAAAGGAAAATGTTTTAAAGAGCTGCTACCTGAAGAGTGGATAAAAAAGTTCTTCTATGTTTCAGGGATATATGCTGTAGCTGTGTTGGTCTAAGAAATAGAGACAAACAAAACTTTTGGACCAGAGGCAATATCTTTTATTAGACCAACTAAATAGTAGCAAAAAACAAATGTCTAATAGTGACTTTAATTCAGCCACAGCAAATAATTCTTCTCTCTTCAATGCTCTAGTGGTAGAGAGTGGCATTCTTCATGTACATTTGCAATATTTTAATATCACTGTAGCATGTACCAATAGGGAAGCTGTCCCAAAGGGCTAAATCTAAAAGACAAAAGTACTGAGGTGATAAGCTATGACCAAGAGATTAAGGTGAGGCCTTGAGAATATAAAGCACTGTTCATTATATATTTATGTGGGTTGAATTGGGATGCAGAAAGGCTGTTCTCTCCCTTAAGTGCATATGCTGGAACACACGCATAGAACAGCGAGTGAAAGAGAAGGGAAGGATTAAAGTCTGGGAACAAGGGACAGCAAGATTGGGAGTAGAGGGACATTGATGGAAAAGGGCTAGGGGGTGCTGATTGGCTGAGAGTAAGAAGGTTCAAAATCATAATATTTAGGTCTTGGTCCCTGTTGCCCAAAGAGTTAAGAAGAATTACTGCTTAGCAGCTCCCTGGTTGGGGGTCTTATGTTTGTGATTTTCCTTGCCACAGGCATGTCGTCTTTCTCCCTCAGAAAAGATAACTTGGGTGAGGAGAATAGAGGCTTGGTACTTTTGGGTAGGGTGGTGCTTTCTAAGGAGGTCATTACTGTTATTCTTGCCTGTAAGGATTAAGCGGGACCTCATTCTTTCCGAGCATCTCTGGCTTTGGGTGATGGAGAATTAAAACCATTAACTGTTCTGCTAAAGGGACTTTCCTCAGTAGAGTTGTCACCTGTATCATTTCCTGGAAAGGCAAAATACTTCTGTCACAGTACTACATCTTCACATGACAATGCCTGAAATAAAATGTGTTCAATTGCCCCATGGGACAGAGATATGCAAACATGTGTAGGTGTCAGTTTGACTCCTTTGGCTTAGTCATATACAGTTTAAACATTAATCTAGTCCTCTAACCTCTTAGTGAACCAGCCTTTGACTGACATCTGAGAGAAAAACTCATATTAACATTTTAGTACCCAGAAGTCATTGATCTATATAACTAGTGTTACTATGTACTAATTACATACCTGATAATTATACTGGAAGCTATGTGGAACGGCATTCAAACTTGTACTATATTTAGTAAACTTCAGATATAATTACCTATAATTAAATCTCTGGCACAGAAGCCATCCTTTCTGACCTATTTATACATGGGCACCATCAGTAAAGATAATCAGTTGGAAGACACTTTGGATAGGTGACCAATCATAAACTGGTCTGTACTCTCACTGTGCCATATGACTGGAATCTGTGATGCTGCCTCACATGGGTAAATGCAACATTGCAAATCAAAAACTATAGATCTAACCTAAATTTGGAATGTGCTAAACCCGCATCCGTATCAGGGCATAATATAATTGCAGATTTGCTAAGCAGAAAACATTAACCCAGCTCACGACAAGTTCAGGTTTTATTAATAACTGTATCAGTCTTTTCAAGAGCCAATTATTTTGCTTAAGTTCCAACACTGTGCTAGCCTGTAAAACATCCATTTAGAATAAGTTATAGAGCTTGGATTGATATACAGTTACTTAACACAATTTTCATGGAGCTCTTAAATAGTTACATTGACTATCTGCTCATCAGGGAAAAGGGCTTTTCTCTGGAGTCAAAAAGGGATGCATGTCAATGGATCTGGAGTTATACATCCACTCCACAATGAATTTAGAATCCACAGTGTGAGCAATGCCAATAAGTATTTTTTTATATACAACTTGATCATTTTGCAAATGAAGTAGGTTGCACATAATAGAAACTTTAAATTCCTTTTGAAATTATGGAAAATTATATCTGAAATGTTTAAATTTAATCTTTCCTATGATATTTAAAATACAGCTATACCTTTATGAACTAGTACAATAGAATTCTTATGTATGATAGTGACTGGTATTTTATCAATGAACCTGTAAGTCTCATCACTTAGTTGTATCATTCTAATAGCAAAATGTTGGCAGTTGGGCAAATTTGGTACTTAAAAATCTGTTGCTGATAAAGTATGTATGCATATACTCATTAATTTTTAATTTGCAAGGATATTCCCATTTCACTATTGGGCAGATTTTGCTAGTTGTAACACAACAGAGCCTTTTGGGCACAGGTGACATGTTGGGGGGGATGCCCCTCCCCCTAGATTTCTGGGGGTCCATGAAGCATGTCTAGGGGGTCTGCAAAAGTTGGCTGTGTTGCTGCTGCTCCAGCTCCTCCTGAGGCCAGAGGATGAGTGAGCAGCAGCTGCAGGCAGAGCCCATTACAGCTGCCTCCTAACCCCCATGGCCAGGGGCCTTCTGACCACCAAACCATGACTGGGTAGTAGCGCTTCATTCTCTCTCCACCAGTGCCTCAGGTGCAATCTGGCACTACTGCAAGAATGAGAGAGAGATCCAAAGAGGGTTTGCACCTCTATTCCCATTTTTACCAGAACCTTTAAATTGTGCCCCCCCCCGGAGAACCGCTGGGCTAGAGTATTAATAACAGTTCTGCTCCACTCATTCAGGTTATATATGTCAGTAAAAAATGGCACATTTTTTGCATTTTATCATTTATTTCAACACTATGATTCAAGAGGCTAAAATGCAAGTTCTTCCCTTTGTATTTCTGCAAGTAGCACTGCAATCATAACTTACAAAAATGTTTAAAATACAAAATGTACATGAAATTACAATACAAGGCTCTGTAAACATCTAGAACTTAATCTTTATTGTCCTATATTTTTAAATATAAAACTTCAATTTGTTGAATGATTTCCAAACTTCAAGGAATGACACCCATTATGTGTATCAAAAATAGAGTTTCAAAGCTTTGTTTGCATCAGAACAAGCTGTCATTTTATCTCTTCAATCTTTGGTTTTAAAAAGGATGGCAGTTCCACTGATATAATGAAAGGTTTAATAGAGGAAGTCTGATTGATTGCCAGATTTAAGATTAATTTCAGAAATGGTACTGATTCATAGACCATATTTAATGTGCTAAATACCATTCTTTGATTTTTATTCCTAACATTGATCCTCCACCTTCTTTGTAGAAAAAAGCAATTTTATCAATGAGGCTTTCCTTGATTTCATATCTAAAAATCAAACTGGAAAGCAGAGTTTTGGAGGTGGTTATGGCAGGGGGAAAAAGGTGGACAAGAAAGTGGATGCCAACAAAATATCAAGTTACAGGGTACTGTTATAAATTTAAATTTGCATAGTCCAATGGAGATTGTGTGCTTTTATACCACTGCATTACTCAAGATTAACAGTCTTTATCTATAGTATCACACAAGCCAAAAAAATTAAGACCCTTGTACTGAAGCTTTTACAAGGCAAATACAAAACTGCTTTAGTAACCAAGGCTATATTTTTATTTTTTTAAATAGGAAAGCATTTCTATGTCTACAGGCATCAAGGTATTTAAAGGCATCAGAAGATTTAGTGCATAGCAACTCTGGATTGTATGGGCTCCCATATTTTAGGTACAGCATGAATTCCAGCTACTCACTAACAGGACTTGCAAGGAGAAGAGGCTGTACCAGTTAGTAAGGAACACAAAACTCACACATTATGGACAGCTCATAAGTTAGAATTCCCCTAAAATATTGATTAATGCAGGAGATCTGGTAAATTAATGAAAACTGGAACACACCTTGCCACCAGCACACAGTCTAAAGACAGTTACACAGCTTACAGTGTTTCAAAAAGTGTTATAAAAACATAACTAGCTGTATTTCTGAACACTTCAACCCTTTTTAGGATGTTTAAACTTAATGTGAGTAGAGGACAGAGTAAAGAAGCACCAGTGGCGGATAGTTTTAATATCACCCTTTAAAGAACTGCCAAAAAGAACTTATTTGGATTTTGAGATTTATACAGTTTTACAGTACATTCACCGAAAGGATGCTTAGTTTCCCAGAGTACAGTTTTTTCAGAAATGTATGTACAAGTAAAGTGGCCTTGCATAAACTTATTTCAAATTTTAAAGTTCTGAACCCCCAGCACAATCACCCTTTGCTGAATTTTTAAAAGCCACTAGTTTGTTTAAACAGTAATTCATGGAAGAAAGTTTCAATTTTATCCACTTAAAATGTAGGTCTTCTAAAGGTCCATGATCCAACAAATATAAAGGCATGGTATTTCTAGTTTAACAGTTTTGCTAGGATATTATATTCACATTTATGTGAATAAATTGATGATTCATTTACAAGAGGGTCCATGTAAAATTTCCCTAGGCTGCTCTGTCAACACATGGGTATCACAAAATGCATATTTACTTTAATGGCTTCACAATGACCTCAATAATGATGTTAAATTAAGACTTTTTCTTTTGTGTTTTACTGCATTTCTATAAAACCAGATAAGTAAAAAGTCAAAACTCGAGCTGGTAGCTTCATTTCTCTAAAAGTGAGACATAGAGGAGACAAGTTAAATTTATTAAATTTATTGAAAATTCCCTGAAATACCTGAACTAATTTCAGCATGATTCCCCCTTCCCTCCCTATATTTGGATAACTAAGGCCAAAAGTATTCACTGCTTTTTTCACTAGAACATAAGGTTAATTCAACTGAGGAACTAAAAATGGCCTATAAATTAAAAATAATCTGAGGTATAGTGTACTTTGGAGCTTTTTGTACACCCTGTATGTTCCATTGGAAAGGTCTGTAAACTACGACCTCTTGGGAAATACATAATGTGGCCTAAGTAGGCAGTTATGGGTCCTTGCCTAGGTTTCTTATCATAGAGGCCCAAGATTTTAAGAGCCATATAGTGTAAAACAGTACTATCAGATTAAGTAAGTACATGAGGGAAATGCATCCTTTCACATGATCTGTAAGATTAATGCCACAAGATATTGTGTTACATATTTTACTCTGAAGTAAGTCCTGTTTTACAAATGTACCATTAAATGTGGGCAAACTAGTTTATGTACTACTTTTAAAGTGTATAATATAATTTCATCAATTGCATTTCAAAGTGGCATTGTTTAGACAGCATATAAAATATGAATGTAGGCAAGTTACCTGGCGCATGGAAAACTACTGCCACTGAAAACTGATCTTAAAACAATATTCCATAGGGATAACAGACACCTAAATTGTCTTCACATATGACAAATTTACCCTCTTCTAACATGGCTTTGAAATTAACGTTCTTTACGCTAAAATTCTAGTTCTCAACTCTCATTACAAATATAACATTTCTATGAAAAAAGGTATTTCAGTAAGAAGTCTGTGCTAACAAAGCACAGGAAGATTATCCATAAAGTTATAAAAGATAAATTTTTGGAATGTCATTTCTGTCCCAAACACTTCCATGATGGAATGGTCTCTTTGTAGCCTATCAAATTACATTTTCATTTTATAAAGAAGTGCAGATCTACATTTGGCTTTGTTTCCTATGAATCTAAGAAAGAAAACTATAAAGTATTTTATACAGAATGGCTTCCAAGGCATTGGCTTAGGATGACTATTATGTTTTGCCTCTGGAAGATTTAATTGTAAAAAATTATTTGTTAAACAATATAAGCTTAAAGGCTCTCCAAAATGACTAAAAGGTGTACAAATCATCAGTTACAACTATACTACCTCTTCTAAGGGAAAGCAGCACACTGAAGATGCATATTAAATTTTTTTTCACATTCAGTACTGTGAATATAAGAGCAAATCTAACATCTCCACACTTTTGAAGCACTTACAATATAAAAGTACTCTATATTCAAATGCAAAAAAGCAAAGCTTGTATTTAATGTTTAAACAGTTAAAACATCTTGTTGCTTCTTTATGTCCATTCACCAGGACACTTTTTACAGCATCTGAGGAACTAGAATTAAAAATGCTCTCACTCCACATTAAAAGTGTAACCCACTAAAAGGGCTATGCAAGGATCTGCTGTTCCAGTTCATAAAGGCCACAGAGTTGGAAGCACAGTAAAAGTGTAAGAAAGGGAGATAAAGATTTTTCAGGGAAAATTGCAGAATTTCTTAGGTGTTTAGTTGTAAGCTTATCCACTATTGGACTTCATCCAATATTTCTGTCTCCAGAGATCCAGGGCATACATGTGGAGATTGGCTGGCCACTGTTGCTCCATGCGTCACGGAGATCTGTGACATATCTCTTCCTATGATCTCATTCACTAAAAAATAAAAAGAACAAAAATTATAACATTGCAAGCCAATGTAAACATACTTGCCTTATTGCCTGGCTGCTTTTACTTTTTCCAAAAATATAATAATTATCAGAGTATACTCTTAGCTTAGAGTTGAAAGAATTTTCCTGTAATGCAGAAGATGAAAATACATTTTGGTAACATTAGCAAAGGAAAGTGAATTGCTATATTATGTTACATTGTTATTGCTGACAGCTTCTGAAGATACTTAAGATGTTGCCTTTGAAAGAAATGTTTGGAGTGAATGCAGGTTCATGAAAATGGGGAACTGATAAACACAAAGGCACAGTCTAAACTAGTACAATACAGGCTTCCTCAGCTATTTCTGTTGTAGGTCTTTACTGAATATGAAGAGCAGTTAAACTTAAAACTGACTTTGCATGATGCATTATTCTGGCAGGCTCAAGGATCCAGAACTGATCAGTCCTCTTCTCATTTCCTAGGTCTCTAAGCAACCTGGGGACTAGACCAACAACTAATATTTTAATAATAAAATCCTTCTTTTCACTCTCTCTATTGTAGAACTCTTAAGCTTAATTAAAAATGCATCTTCAACAGACTTGCAAAGTCAAGTTCAAGAAACAGACAAGTTTCTCATCTTTTGTCAGAAAGATGCTGCCTTTCTAATAATTGGTAATCATCAAATAAATAACATAATTTACATGCCAAAGGGTCAATACACCAACATAATTTACTATTAAACAGAAGGTGCAAGAAGGAATATGATTACTTTAAATTCACAAACCTATTTATGAAAAAACCCCTAAAATTAAAGAATTAAAGTTTTCAGAATTATGAGCCCTAGACACAGTTATCTCCTCTTCAAATTCTTTCTTTCAGTTTGAATGTTTGCTCAAAAAGAACTGCAGGTCTGTTCCCAAATTATGACTTTTTTGGGATATGATCATTTACATTAACATATTTACATTTAACTATGATAATTTAAAAATAATATTGTTGGAAATATTGGAAAAATACAATATCCTTTCCAGACCAACAGAACTGAACTCAGGATATTAAGATAGTTGAAATATTTATTTTTTAAAGGAAAATTTAAATACTTTCATACCAAAACACTTAATAAAAATCAGGTAATACCAGTTTTAACAATGAAAAAGAATATCACACCAGTAATATTTAAGATGTTATACAATTTGTATAAGTAGGGATTCAAAACATTAACTGTACTTCCTTTGGAATTTTAAATACCATCAAAAATAAAACTTAGCAAGTACTTGCAAAGATAAGGGACAGTATACTAGACATTAAATAATACATGAAAGCTTCAAAATATTTTGAAGTTAGCTTGACTATTCTTAATTCAAACAGACCTAACCTAACTTTATTTACAAACTTTGGAGTGGCAGCACTGCACAGCCTCCCATTCAGCATGGTACTTCGGCATACATGTATCTCGATAGTTCTTTTGACCTCAGTTTGAATATTTTGGTTGAATCGGGGCCATTACCACCTAAATAGCAGAAGTACTGATCTTGCTATTAGCCGATTTCCATGAAGAGCTCTGAGTCTGGAAACTGCATTGCATCTGTCAGTGTACAAGAGAAGCTAGCTCCACCATTTGGGTAACAGCATACTCTCTGCAGGTTTTGGCTGACCCTTGTTCACTAAGAATTCAGTTTTCACTTTCAAGACTCCATAATCTAAATACCAAACAAACTGGGACTGCCAGATGGGATCCCAAATTGTTAGAGTGCTTCTTGGAAACAATTTAACAGTAGGAAATATCCTTTCCTGAATGAAGGTGGACTGTTGTGGAGTCTTCAACCTGGACACAAGATTTTTTGCCTAGCTTAGGGCTGTCTAACTTCTGGGTGCTGGGGGCACTGCAGCCTTGCAAGCTATATGCTGCACAGACATGCACCACAGGGGCAGCCTTCTCACAGTTCTTCCCCACTGCATGAGCAACCCACTACTCCATCCCGCTGTAGGCAGCCTGGCTATTCTTCCCCACCTGTGCACAATGCACAGGCAACAAATGCTCTCCCCAACCATGTCCTCCTCCTCTTCCTCCTTCCCTCCCCCACACTGTGCTGTCCTGGTCCCAGGAACAGGGCAGGAAGGAGAGGCTGGAGGCCAGAAGAGAGGGGGGAGCCCAGAGCTGCCAGCTACTATAACAACAGGAGCAATGGGAGGAGTGTTGGAGGAGCGGCAGATGCTCCAGAGCCTTATGTCAACCACCAGTGGGACAACTCTGGTCTAGCTGCATAAGTGTTTATTATGCACTTAAAGGCATTCGAGTAAGGTAGAGAACTTACCCCGCACATGCTCCATTTTATAAACTACTTTTCAGTATCTGATACAGAAACAGATACATGATTTCCTAAATCTGAAGAACAGAAAACCACTGAAATGTTTTGTATGCAGCCATAGAAAGTGACTGTTGTTCAAGGATTAAGCAATGTTATCCTTCATAAAGAAATTCAATTCTGCTTGAGCTAACACGAAAAAGAATACTCTCATGCTAGATATTTACACAGTACAGCTCTTTACACACTTCACTTAAGTTTTCTACACTCAGTAATTTATTTTAAGTTAGCTTTATTATATGTTTATCCATCATTTCAATTAATGATTTACTTAATTCATATTTGTAATCTGAAAGTGAGGAAAGTAGTTATAATGGAAATTTTACATGGTTGTAAAGACAAGAGATTTGCTTATAAAAGGATATATTGTGGGTACCAAGATAGCAGGACGTAGCTCAACTGAATTTATTCTTATCCTTTCTAGCATATGAAACAATTCTGTTTTAAATATTTTGTATTGGTAAACTGACAGTATAGAACAAAAAACTGATCTCAAAACACTGATACTTAAATATTTTTGCCTTATATTCTGTACCTGAACTTCACAAAGTAAATAGAATTATTATTCTTGTATCACCATAGAAGGAGCTGCTATTGCAGAGCATGATACTTCCCAAAAAATCTAGGTGCTCTCCTATTAGTAGCATAGTCCTACAGATTTTAATGTCTCTTTCAAAAGGAGTAGTGGTACTTGCATGAACCTAACATCAGCACCCAGCAATATCTTATTGGTTTTGTGTACACTGTATGTAGCTGAAGAGTTTTTAATTTTTTTTTTAATAATACAAATCAGAAAATGCAGCTGCTCATTACTGTTAAATCTTTGATGAGCTATAAAACAAAACACAAGTATACATCTAAAATCCTTTTATTCTTTGGAAGTTAGACTGTCACTATCTCTGTTTTGATAGATGGCTTATTTTGTATTTAGCATCAAAACAAACTGGTCTCTGCTGTTGTTTATATGGATCACCATTCTACTGGAAGATATTTTAGAGAGCTCCCCAAGGCAATATTTACTAATTGAATAGCATAAGCCATGCGGCATTAAAACTGTACTGCTTAAAATCACTTTTATATTATGAATACAAAAGTTGTTTGTGTGGTGTAGTAGCTGCTAAAGTATTGCATTATTTATTATTTACCTTTTAGTATTTTTTATTTCTGGTTGTTTAATATTTACCAGTTAGCTTCTTTATTTGTATATTTTAAATGGACTATTGAGTGTACCACAAAGCCAGTTTTAACAGCAGGTTGATAGCCCCACCATCCCTAAAATCTACCAGTATAAGGGCAATTTATATACAGTGCAATATTCCATCATCATCATCTTGTAACTAAGAGATGTTTCTGGTGCAGATCCAGCCTTCAACATTTGCTGCTATAGTAATATCAGAAATATGCATTTTGTACCAGCAGAAGCTCTAGTATAAGATACATTATACTGGCATAAAAAGTAGTTATTTTAATCATCTAATTGATATAGGTTATACTGACAAACGTACCTTTTTGCTGTTATAAACTGACTACATCGAAGGTTTTGCTGGCACAACTCACGTTTCTATGCTGATGTAGCAAACTAAGTGTAGCTGAACCCTGAATAAGCTTAAAATACCTAGCTCTTTCCCAAACCCTTTCTGGTAGGGTGAATTTCTCACACCTACCTCCCTAACTGTTGAAAAGGAGTTTCTGCTACTCCACCCTTTCCTAGAGAATCCATTTTACTCTACAGTTTCCTGGAAAGGTATGGAAAAAAAATGAAGTCTATAGAATTTGGAAGAGAATGCACTTCATACCTTTAGGCATTTTCTTCACAGTTACAGGCGATTTCATGGTAACACAAATGATCAACTCATGAAAGAACAGCATGCTCTCTACTAGTGTTTTAGGGCATTTATACATGTGCTCTGGGAGTTGGGAAGGAGGCTTTGAATTAGAGTGGGTCTGAGAGGCACTCTAATTAAAGCACCTGGAGCATCTCCTGTATCAGTATCCCTGCACTGAAAAATAGTGGCAGGGTCACTTTAGCTAAAGCTTGCCGAATGAACTTTAAAGCACCCCCGACACCAATTTTCAGCGCAGGGACACTAATACATGAGATGCTGGAATCTGCTGGAGCATGGTAACTACTGTGCTCCAGCAGACTCATTTGAGTAGTTACTATGCTCCAGCAGACTCCAGCATCTCATGTATTAGCAGCATCTCATGTATTAGACTCAATTAACTGAGTCTGCTTCGACGTGCTATAATTATACCACATTGGAGCAGGTTCTCTGCATGTGTATAGGTGCACTTAAAACCCAATGATTTCAGAAGCTCAGAGGCA